AAACTGGTGCCAAATGTGGATGGCATATCCATCTGGACTCAGTCCTGCCTCTGTGAACCGCCTGGGAGTCACTGGTGTGACACAGACTCTGCTCTCATCCGCAGATATCTCCAAACGTCCGGTCAAACTATCTCGTAATGTGAGCTCTGTGTTCCCTGCAGGGGGGACGCGGTCCTCTTCCTCTGGGGGAGCCGGGGACTGCCTCTGGGGCTCCGGCTCCTCGACAAACTGGCGTTTCCGAAAAGGAAGCGAAGAGGAGAATTTGTCCGTTTTTCGTTTGCGAGCAACACCGGTGTCATGTATCTGAAAACTGTCCGTCCCTGTGCACGCCGGGGGTGCGGGCGAGCCACCTGTCCAGCGAGCGTCCCTCGCGCCGCTGCTGCAGTCCGGAGTCCTGGCCGCTGCACGCTCCCGGGTGGTGGTGCGCAGATCCAGCGGCGCGGTGGCGACCGACTGGTGGTCCCCGTTCATGGTCATGATCCTCGGCATCAACCGGGGGCGAGGCGCTCAGGTCCCGGAGAAGTCTCAGGTGTGTAGGCGTGAAGAAAACTTCGTTCAGTGACACTTTGGTGGGATCAGTCCATTCAGAGTGGCCAGTCTTCCCATAAATCAAATGCGCGTTCCCTTCTCTCTTACTGTTTTATCTGATACGCGTTCAAAGCAATTGATTTCTTCCTGCAAATGTGTTTTCGAAGATGAGCCAATAGAAGTGTGGTGTAGATGTGGTGTCCCAACTACCCTTAAGAAAGGACTGCAGGTACAGTGCAGTTCCGCCAGCGCTCATCTGCTTTAAGCCTAATGAACGTAAGTAATCACAGCGACACGGTGCTTTCCCTTATAAACCGAAACAAAGCGGTTGTTGTAAAATATACTGAGTGGAGAGGGAAAGAGAAAACACTTAGTTGAAATCATAATACATTCTGCATTTGCCACGTCTTCGACAGCTGTCTGTTTTGCATGCAAGTTCAAAACATTATACTGAATTTCTCAAGAAGTTCAAGGATCGAGGCTCTTCACGGTTCAGGTGCTTTGGCCAGTCGCTGTGTGAAGTGTGTCTGCATTAACCGCATCTCCATTCACTACATTCAGTTGATTCCCTGTCATTGTTAACAAGCACCTTGATGCATTTGACAGTTGTAAATGCTCACAATGTACACTTATTGTGTACTTCTATGTACTTATTTGTTATCAATTGTTCAGTCATGTTAATATAAGCTATAATTTAAAATGTCAAAATGCAGACTTTTCTTTTTGCAAAAAGGAGGATCAGTGACCAATGACCATACAGTTTAAGGAGATGGAGAAATAGGTATATACATTTAAAGGGTTCACTGGTTATAAACCGTATTTATTTCCTTTATTGCAACATCACTGTTCCATCTTGTTGATGATAATGGAACCTATTGACCTTAACAACATGGAATCTGCAGAATGATGTTACACTCATTGTGAAATTAGGGAATATTTTTGATGTATTCTTGCCAAAATAGTGAATGAGTAACTCAAAAGGAATGGCTTTGAATGTTTAACTTGTAATGATGACATGGCAGGGATATTCATGTGTTTTTTGTTCATTTTGTATTGCCTCAATTCACCAGACAATGTTGATTTTCACACTTCAGTCTCATTGCATTATAGAGCAGACAGTATTGTCTCAGTTGTGGTACATTACAGCTGATTTTACTCTTCTAATTGACAGTTTAGTAATAATGCAAATGTTTATTTTCTTGCAAACATGTCAACTCAACATTTTGTAAATGAACAGCACACAAAAGCTCAAGTTTTCCTTATGTTTAATTCATGTTGATGATGCAGATTTGACAAGCTTCAGTCATGGATGCATATTGCCATTTGTGGCCTCAGGTTGGTCATGTTACTTGTATTTAGACAATAAGTGAATCCTGCGTCCCCAAAAGCAGGTATAAGGATAACAAAGGGGGAATTCACAAAGAAGATGTCCGCTAACTGACTAGTTGATGCCATAACTGCTGCCCTGCCTGTGGGTATACCCAAACATGCACATAAACCGACACATCACACCTCATCTCTTTGATTTTAATCTTATCCTACCCCACCCTCAGACGAGGGTCTTATTACCAGGGTCAATTTGGGACTTTCCTCTTTCCACTGAAGTGTGGAGCTGGCAACGGAAAGTCAAACTTGTGTTTAAAGTCCCTAAAACACCCTGACACTACATAAACATGCTCAGCAGCTGTCAAAGCACTCAACCATTGTGGTATCTAATTTGAAAAGGTATTATTTATGAAAAACAAAGGCCCGCCTCTTTAACGGCCATGCAGTCTCACCCTGAACACACACTATCAGAACGTATTGCTTAATGAATGATACATTAGCTGGGCTTAATGGTCTGCAAGCACACACCCATAGAAAGAGAAAATACATTTATCTTTATTATTTAGGGTTTCAGTTTGCTGAGACTCAGCAGCAGGATGAATGCAGAGAGGAGTCCTTAGTGCCACCTACCATGAGATAACATGAGGCCCCCTTGTGGCTGGAGAGCAGAGGTGCAACTAGGCCTGAAACTCAGCATTTAGAAATGAACCTACATTTGAACGATTTAGAATATCTACCAAGATCTTCTGTTAACCCTTAGATGCACCAGTGACTGGACCCTACTCTTCCATAAGTGGGTCTAAAAGGACCCGTGTTAGAATAATATGTGTTTTTATGCCATTTTGTCATTTTGGTTAAGAAAAATGACTTGTATAATATTTAGTATTATATTTTGGTTCACATTAGAAATATTTTATATTTAATTTTTCACAATTTATAATTTTAGAAAAAAAAAAGTACAGTATTCCAGTCCCTTTTCGAAACTCATCTATTCTCCTCTTGTCTACTCATCTAAGGGTTAAGTCATTATATTTATAGTATTTTTTAAAGCATATTAATATATATGCTCTTTAGTTAAGGCACATTAAGATGGAAACAGAAATGTAAATGTGTAAAATAAACTGATTTCATTGATAACACTAAACTGAGAGTTGAATGCAATTGATTTCTTCTTGCAAATTTGTTTTCGAGAGCCAATATAAGTTTATTGTAGATAGTGTGTAATATTTTGATGTGCTTGTGTCGGATCAATTCAGAAATAGTGAACGAGTAACTCAAACCGAAAGGCTTTGAATGTTAAACTCACAATGATGTCATGGAAGAACACTAAACTGAGTGAGTGTCTCCCTCTAGTGGATGTTAAAGAAGATGTTGTCAGTCTTATTGATAGTACAGATGTTATGCTATTTGAAATAAGGGGAATCAGTATATATACATATTTGCATTTAAAACATGCTTTTATATATCAAGTTCAGCTTTATTTGTAGCAAATAAAGTTTTTACTCGCTCCTTATTAAAGTGACTTTCTTGAAATTGAGCCCTTATGCTCATGGACAGGCACGAAATCAAAGTCAAAGTCAACTTTAATGTTAATCTTTCAGTTTGTGTGTACAGACAGAGAGATCGAAATAATGTTTCCAACAATCCCGAATACAAAAATATAATAATACAATTATACAAATATGTATAGCCTACAAATATGTATATCCTATATATATACTGAAAAGACACATATTCACAAATGCACACATTAAGATAAAACACAACAATAAATATATACAAAATAACAGTCAATTGGATATAACTTCCAATGATTAATGGAACAAAATCAAATTAGTTTTAACAATATATGTATACAGCCCATGATTCATCCATGCAAGCTGTGCTGTGGCAGCACATCGTAGACGTAGACCATACAAACTGTATAGAGACACAGCTGTCCCTAATGTTTTAATTTGATTTGTGATGTCATGTTGTTGGAGTACTTGAGCTGCACCCAGTGTATGAAAAGTGCTATACAAATAAAGCTTTATTATTGTTAAAGCTTGCCTCAGCAGGCTAACAGCTAATATGTTCACATTTGTTACCATTATAATGCAGTTTGGTAATTTAGCATGCTAACTAATTCAGTAAAATGTCTCATGTGTAAATCAACAGTTTAGATCATTTGTGAATTGTTTTACTTGTGTTGCCGAACAACGACCACATTTCCTCATTAGTGCTCTTTAAATGTGACAGTTTTCTTCTATTTCGTGTTTTCTATCATTGCGATTGGGATATGTTTGGTTATTGTTTATGTATTAGAATTCTAACATTTACAGACAGGCACCAAACACAAAGCAGGCTACAGTCAAGACTGATGGGAATATCAGAGGTTTTTTAGGTAGATGACCAAAAACAACACATTTTGTAAAAGTTAACATTTTGGCCTGATGGTAAAGCAAGAGCTGTGACTCTAACAATAACAACTCATTCTGAGGGGGACACATTACATTACATGTTAGACGCTTTTATCCAAAGCGACTTATACTCAATACTGTGGGCAATCCCCACGACATGCTGACTGCAGTGGGACTCGAACTTGCTATCCACTGATTCGAAGACCAGCGCATTAACCCACTGCGCCACACGCCTCCCTGTTAAATTGAATGGCATCCAAATCCACACCAAAGTTATTAGGGTTCTTCCTCTTGGGAAGTCCATGCACAATTACACAGAAATGAATCGAATGGTTTTTGAAATATTTGAGTTTAAACCAAAGTAGTCAATGTACTGATAAGCCACTTCTGCAGAAAAGATATGGTGACATGCCAAATAAATCCTTCAAATGACACAGTAAACAATGTTCCCTGCCAGTTGTCAGGTGAAGAGGATTCTTCTTATAACACAACTGTTGTTGTTGACCTTTAAGTTTGACCTTTGCTTTGATTGCAGGCATCCTGTCGGTTAGTGAGAAGGCTACCTGTCTGGATACTAAGTTTAACTCAGGTCTTGCACACTGCTTTCATGTTTAATTTTGAGGTCACTCCTCTCGGTCTTCACCACTCCCATCTCTCTCTCTTGCTCTCTCTTGTTGCTTTCCTGCTCAAGCAATAGAGCAAAGAAAGTAAACCTGTTTGGCTGGCTGCAACCAGGAAACCATTCAAAGGGTGCACCAAGAACAGAAAGAGCGAGAACGAAAGAGAGGGGGGGGTGACAGAAGAAAGAAAGAGAGACAAAGAAGAAGCAGCAAAGTTTCAGCCAATGACAGAGGACATGTTTTCCGCTGTGTTGTGAGTAGATGTGTCTGTTCTGTTGACCCTGACATTGTGGGAGTGCTCTGCCTCTGAGATGTGAGCATGAATATTGGTAAGTGTGATATAGAGAGGGTGAGGAGGGCTGAAAGTGAGAGGGTGGAGAGAGTCAGGATGGTAGTTGTTGGTAGAACGGTTGAGTATCAGTGTCACTCCCTTCCTTTGTAGTCAGTTCACTTCTTTATGCTTGGTGACTTTTGTTGAACTGTTGTGAAAAACCTTTAAAAAGCAGCCTCTATATAACAGGACTTGTATTTTATTGTGTTTTTCTGAAGACCTGACACAGGAGAAAGAGTCTAAAAATGGGCTATTTCTGGAGCAAATGCTAAGATTGAAGTGCATTTTTAGAGATCCTGTAATTGTGCGGGCTAGCCATCGTTGGGTCATGTAATGCTATTGGATTATTTTATGGATCAAAGATGGATGCTGTTTGAAGAGGCTAAGATGTCTGCTTATCCAAAGAAGCTGGGACCTCACACGAATCACCGTAAGGACATTACATACCAGCAGAGACACTCAAACACTTGAGTCTGGATGATAACTGCTCCTATTTTTGCTCTTAAACACATTCAATAGAGAACAGGAAGACCATTATTATTTATGATCACGCCTCCTTACATGGAGACAGACTGACATTTAAGGTTGATTCACATCACTTCACAACAGAGGAAAGATGGCGGCAGCAGGTTCTGGAGCTTCCCTGAGCCCCAAATCTAGCTCCCAGACTCCTACCAGCGGAGACAGGCGGCTGCTGGACAAGACCCTAAAAAGACTTTATAAACTGGGCGAACTGTGCACTAACCCCCGGCTGGGCCTGAGGAACAGTCCACCATACCTGCCAGAGCTGGTCTCTGAGACGACAACACTGCTGACTCAGGTCTGGGAGCCCTACAGAGGCCCCAGGGGGCCGGGGGGCCAGGCACCCCGAGGGGACGAGGCCAAATACCTGAGGGTCCACATCCGAAACCTGCTGGATAAGACGGACCGGGCGCTGCTGCTGTTCAAAGAGGGACGGGACAAGATGTTCGAGGACACGTCCAGCTGCAGGTAAGAGGGCCGACATCTACACAAAAGAAAGAAAGTGTTATTTGCACCGAAATACAATACATAAAAAAAGGGTTTTATGAATCCTTTTATTCAAATGCTGAATGTATTCATTCATTACTTTGTCCTTTGTTCTCTGTCTTTTTTAATATAGATTCAAATAAGTCAATCAATCAATCACTTTATGAGAGGCAGTCACATGTTTTATACTCTTGGTGTACAAATCAAAGAAAAAGCTGCTTGATAGAACAATAATCAGCTAGTTTTTTGACAATTAATTAATAATTTCAGTCATTTATTTTATAGACAGGTGCTGCTTCTAGTTTCTTAAATGCTATAATTGGCTTTTCTTTCTGTGTTCTGTTTAATTGTCAATTGAATATCTTTGATTTTTGGTCTCTTGGTCATAATCTAGGGCTCCCAGGACTTGTGATGACCAGTTTTGATTTATTTCTGGACACTTCATTATGTATTTATTTATTTTTATTTGAAAAGGGACAATGGGACAATGGGACTTTAAATGCGCCAGAGTTAACCAAGAGGCCGTAAACTAAATGATCACTTTATTGACCTAACAAATTATCTCCATATTCAAATAAACATATATTGATATAGAAAAATATATCGAAACTTGAATATCATTTGTATTATTTTTGTATCTCAAGGTTCAGTCAGGCAAATTAAAATGGCAAAAAATTGGACGCCACATTATGTACTACAAAAGACAGTTTGGATAAAACCAGCGATCGTAGCATTCAAATATGATTTAAAAATATTAAACACAAGCAGTGTCCCTGCAAATCAAGAAATGTATTGGTCTATCTCCATTATCCAGAGTAACAAGGAAACTTTTCTGTTGAATTAAAACATTTCACTGAGCACGGCCAATTACCATTCGAGGCAACCCGCCATTTAAGGACGGCCTCGTGTAGTGGTCGCCATTTCCCCCCCCTCTAATTTAATCATGTTCTCAAACTGAAAAAAAATCCTCTTTTTTTAGATGTATTCCTCTCTAACCAGATCTTGATGTAAGATTTAACACAAATAAACTGACTCTGGGGTCAGAAATAGTTCGTACATCCATCAAATCCTTATCCGGGACCATGGGACCAGGGCTTTGGCTCTTTGTGCTCGTGGTCTTTAAAAAGTATGAAAATCCATAAATAGTCTTCTGTATTTGCTCGACTAAAGGAGTCATAAATGTATACTTGACAGCTACGATAGAGGCTATGACCCGTCCTTATATACTAAATCAAACAAACTCGTATGGCCGCTTTACACCATTGCTACATATAGTTTAATAAAATAACTCCCCCGTTCCCACATGTAAAATATAGACTTTGTTGTGTGCCAAAAGTGAAAAAAAATACCACTTTCAGTACATTTGCAGTTTGGCCAAAGTGGATATTTTGGAACAGCTTAAAAATAGTGACTTCTTTATTTAAGGTTTGTGCTGCATCTGCTGCTCCTGTTGAGACTACTAATAACGGCAGCAGAAAAAGAGCCAAACCTGAATCTTTGTGATGCTAATGTACGGAAACTTGGCAAAAGCAACATCAGTTTGTGAGCAGTTTGGGAGAAAGGCAGCCGGGCTTAAACACACTTTTCTGTTTGTTTCCATACAGTAATATCCACAAGGTACACATATATCCTCTGCTACTGTTACTGCTAAATATAGGACCTCTCTTTTCTACTTTTTACTCAGATAAAGACATGCTGAACTATCCATCTATCTATCTTTATTTATATTGCATCATTGTGCACTCACAAGACAGCAGATGGCCTATTACCACAGCAAGGTCTGCATGAGCGGTCATGTGAAAAATGCACATTGTGTGATGTGTAATGTGGCTTTTGAATTACGGTACATTGAGTCAATATCTTCTTTTGTCTTTTTTTTTAAAAGCAACCCACTTTTCAGCATGTCATGCCACAGACTCAGGCAGTATGTTAAGGTTAAAACAGAACTGAGATCAGCCTGATGGAGGAGGCGACAGAAACAGACAGTGGAAGGGTTGATCGGTTGGTGGATTATTGTGCGTGACACACTGATGGTTTTGACATCATCTGACTGGAATTTATGAAACACATGCAAATATGCAAACTCTGTTCAACATATAGCTTAAACTTTAATCAAAAACAACACAAATATGTTTCAGTATATTAATGAATAAACCAGTTTGTGTAACTATGAATGATAAAATGTGTATACTTACACAAATACACATTGATTAAACCGGCTATGCCCCTTAGAACACTTAATATTTGGGTAATTTTTACACAAACAAATATTTCATTAGGATTGAATATCTTACTCATCGTGGTTAGGGTGTGGTTTTTAATATGTAATTTCCATTGTTAGAATATAATCACTGATTAAAGTTCCGGATAGATATTAGGTTGCAGGATTTGTTTTGAATTACAAAATGTGAGCATGAATTTGAGGGTCACTCAGACACAGCTTTATGTTCTTGGTTTTACGTTACATACATTTTTCTCATCATATCATCATATTGTGCAAGTCTGAAAACAGATAAATAGGCCATTACTGATGTGTGAATGTTTTGCACAACTATTTTTATTTAGCTTGAGATTCTTCTGTAAAGACTTCCATCGGCTGCAGTGCAGAGAGCTCGACTTAAGCTATAGAGCGTCGGCATTGCTTCACAACATATTTTACTCTTTAATCTAAAAATAACACGTGCACTGGAGTGTTTGCACAGTGTACATTTACCGACCATCTTTTTTTCATGACATTTATACGAGGAGCCAGACTGACCGAGAGACGTGACCAATAACACATTTCCTCCCACACTTCTCCCCTTCTCCTCAACACCTAATACGTTTTTCTCATCGAGTTGAAATGTTTTTAACCACCATCCTCTTAAGAGAATGCCAATTTTATAATTACTGGCTGCCCGGACACATCTGCAGAAAATATTTCCAAAGAAACATTCAGAAATAATTACGAGAGTGATGGTAATGAGAGATGAAAATGAGAAGTTGGGGTCAAATTCAATGGATGGGAATTACTTGCATTGTAATACACTGTATTCAGGTATTAGAATATTTCCTATATTGTACAATTTTAACTGCATTTTCATTAGAAAAGTAAAATAAATATAGTGGAGTCTGTTAATCCTCTCCCGAAACACGCATTCGGGTCTTACGTAAAACATGTTCGGAAAAAGATCTTTCAAGATACTTCAAAGACAACTGATATATTTTTACCTGTTTATGTTTTTTAAAAAGTGTTAAAGATGGAAGTAAGCTGTAAATGTAGCATTTACACAGTTTAATTCAGTTTTTTATGAGAGACTGCACCAAGCGACATGTTTGTAGACAAATGTGTGTTTTAAAAAAAAAGAAATTGTCAACAAATATTTAGTAAATTACCCTCGAAGTGTCTTGAAAGAGGGTACATTACATTCTTATAAAGGAGTGACACTTTGGCCACTGGAACATTCTGTGGTATTTACAGACAAGCAAGCTGCAGAGCATCCTGTTTGCTAGCTGGACTACCTTGTGTGCGTTTATCTGCGGAAAGTATCAGCAGTGTTTGATTTAACTCCAAAGAAGGAGTACAGTATCCAGTGTTAAACAATTAGAGCTATGTCCCCCTGAAAAACCATGGTGTTAGAATTTATTTTATGTTATTTCTTTGCATTTATACACCATGTATATATAGCCAGTGTTTACCACAGTTGCCATAGAAAAACAAGCCTGCCTGGCCTGACACCTTTAACTTTACACACCTACACTGGAGACAAATGCACAGAAACTAACCTTTAAGGTAGTGACACTTTATTAAAAAGTTTCTGCAGATATGTCCTTATTCCGAATCTTAATCCTAGTGCCTTTGACACTTTTAGATGCAAGAATATTCAAAGAAAGTGTGTGAGTTAAGGGTTATAAGTTTGAGGAGACGTAGTTATTGCCTCACAAGATGGTTTTACATGTTTGTATAAGAATGTTTGTATAAGAGCATAAGAAAAAGGAAATGTGATGTCCAAGCAAAGCCTATTTCTATATCTGACTACACAACTGAAAGTCTGTTTTGTTTTTCTTTCTCAGGAGGAACTTGACCAAACTGTCCTTGCTGTTCAGTCACATGCTCTGGGAGCTGAGGGCCATGTTTCCAGGGGGCAGTTATCAGGGTGACACCTACAGGGTGACTAAGCCAGAGGCAAAGGAGTTTTGGATGCGCTCATTCGGAAACAAGTGAGTATTGGGATGTTCCTAATAAGATAACTTTTATTGTATTTTCATTGTGTTTTTATTTGTTGCTACATGTCAACAATGTGTTCTGACAGGTGTTTTGTGCAGTGGAAAAGCTTCAAAGAGCAGCTGCAGAGTGTGCATGCATTTGAGGAAGGGATGGAGTCCATGGCTCTGAAATCAACTATAGATCTCACCTGTAATGACTACATATCTGTGTTTGAGTTCGACATCTTCACCAGACTGTTTCAGGTAAGGTGAATTTTCCAAAAGTCATAAACTAATAGACCCTGTTAAGTCCCAAGGACCCCCTCGGCGGGTCCTTTTTTTTGTTTTGTTCACGACACTGTGTCTCAGGGGATCTTAATATTTAAGAACCTATTAATGTGATTGTGTTATACCAGATTAACGGGAATAATCTCAGCTAACTGACGATACAAACCATTTTTACCAAAACAAAACACAAGTATCATAAGAAGCATCTAAATGAACCCTGAGCGAAAAATGCTAACCTATTACTGCACCGATAATCACTCCTAGCTCCCTTATTACTTATCCTAGGTGCACATCCAACACATCGTTTATGATCACAAGGAGACACATAATCTAACGGTGCCCACCTTAATACTGAAAGATACAAACTCGTGACGTTATCAACAAAAACGTACATCAAAACAAGTGGCGCTAGGTAGCCCACAACGCTAACATGGTTTACCTTCGTCTTTGTCTGGTCTAAACTGGTCTTCAATTAAAACGATAACAACGATGCTGTAGTTAATCCATAGGTTAATCCAATGTGTCTGTATCCCCTTTGAAATGTTCTGATAATCCATAAGCAATAAAACAGCTTTTCCGTTGCTTGATATCAGAGCAGCGATATTTCTCCCCTCTAAGGCAAGCTAGCATGCGCAGAGACGACACCTTTTTTTTTAACATGAGTGTGGGACGATTTCCCTTGGATTATATTGGCTCTAACGGTCAGAAAGATATGTCACATGTCAAAATCGAACAAGGGGGGCCAGAGATATGGAAAATCCACCCAAAAGGCCCCAGAAGAGGTTATTTTTGCTAAATCTGTCTAAAAAGGTCAAATATCACTTGTTTTGCATCAATCTTGATACAGGGTACTTATTATATGTTGTACTTTGTATTCCTAAAGCTTTTAGTCTACTAACCCATCATCCAAGGTTAGTTTTCACTATAAGTACAAAATAGTTTTTGGACGGACACTATAATTTACAGTTTTTTACCATGTTCAATCTGAATTTTCTTTAAAATAAAAAACATCTATATTGATTCTGACTTTTCTACATCCAACTCACAGGTTTATCATTACTTTGAGAAAAAAGATTATTAATTTAACCCTTTTAGAAGGGAAGATATGGTCATCTGTTCTGGGAATGTCATTTTCGAGCCTGAGACCTGAAAAACAGGCTCGGGGTTTAACATGTTTTAAAGAGGCCCTATTATCTTGTTGGGGTTTACCCTTTCCTGCAGTGTGTTATATAGGTTTTAGTGCATGTAAATGGTGTGCAAAGGCTAAAATCCCTCTGAGTTTCCTCTCCCACACACTCTGCCCCGCCTGTTGACCAATCACAACAGAGCTGGCCAGCTAACCAATGACAGTGTGACAGAGTGTGAAAAACATGTCACAGTAGAGGCACAAAATACACATATGAACCTGAAATGATAATAATATTCCCTCTTTAAAAGGAATAGTTAGAGATTTTGCTTATTACGCTCAGTAGGTTTCTTTCAAAGAGTGAGATAAGAAAATGGATACCTTTCATATATTTATACTTTCAATTTGAAGCTATAGCCGGTTAGCTTAGCTTAGCATAAAGAATGGAAGGAGGGGGAAACTACTCTGTTCAAAGGGATATTGACAATCGATTGGTATCCTCTCATCTAGAGCAACTCTTACCAAGACAGCGATAAAGCATATTTTACCTAAATGTTTACTACTTCTTTAAACATGAATCCTAATGAACATCCTACGTCTGCTCTCATTTTTAGCCGTGGAGGTCACTCATAAGGAACTGGAACCAGCTAGCAGTGACTCACCCCGGCTACATGGCCTTCCTCACCTATGACCAGGTTATAGCTCGTCTGGAACACTACCTGCACAGACCTGGGAGGTGAGGACCAGCACAGCAATAAACTATGACTGATGCACTTCCTACAGGACATATATTATGTCACACATATCTCAAAACTCTAAATACTACTGAGGATTCATCTCAGTTTTTAGCAATAAGGTCCAAAGCAACATTGAACCAAAGCACTCTATATTTAAGTCTTTGGAAAAATGTGTATTCATTATTTGTTGAATGTATGTATTTTATTTTCTTCTTCAGTTTTTACCAGATGTTTTTCAGCATAACCAACTAAAACTTTCCAGCTTTCTGTGTATGAGTCAAACATGTTGTTAAATATAGCTCCATGACAATACGCGTGTCCAAAACTGCTTTAAAGGGGACACATAGGATTGTTTATTGTTTACTTATTTCACAGTTTATGCGTCAGGCAGTTCCGATACCATGCACAGCACTTAAAAAGTGATTTTTTAAAATATGTAATTGATTGCACAAATACAGAAAAAAAAGACCTACATTTAGACTGAAGCAACTACTTTTTGCCAGAGACTTAAAATAATGTTTAAATGCTTATCTGGGAACTTTAATGTGTACATATAAACACATTGGATTAACATAATCTCTTTCCCTCCTAGCTATATCTTCCGCCTGAGCTGCACAAGAATGGGTCAGTGGGCTATTGGTCATGTGACCAGTGAAGGGGGCATCATCCAGACCATCCCCCAGAATACACCTCTCTACCAGGCACTCATTCAGGGCTTCAAGGAAGGATGGTTAGAGAAAAAAACACACACAGCTCTCTGGTTTATTTTTGTCTCTGTTTGTCTCTTTGTTCTCCTTAGTGCTGTGTGTTTGTGTGCCTGCAGCTACCTGTACCCAGATGGCCGAGATGTGAACCCCGACCTGACAAGCTTGTGTGAGCCGGCCCACAGGGGCAAAGTCAAAGTTTCAGAAGTAAGTGGATGAACTTCATACCTCTTTACCCATTCATCAAACTGTCAACAACATCCCGAGGCTTTAACCGAGACAAAACATAGATCGTATCCCGAGATGTTGTCTTATTATTTTGTCTTGTATTTCATGTCTACACATCTCAAACGGTACACTATCGCCCGACAGGAGCAGTATGAGATTTACTGTGACATCAGCAGCACCTTCCAGCTGTGTAAGATCTGCACAGAGAGGGATAAGGACACTCGTATCCAGCCCTGTGGACATCTCCTGTGCCAACCCTGCCTCACAGGCTGGCAGGTAGAAACCCCCCTCTACTTACTCATTCACTTGAGTCATTTACAGCCCTGAACACCTCTGCTGTTGCCAGGGGCCACATGCAATTGAACAATTGAGCTAAACTAGTTTGAAAAAATAGACATAATTTGATTTAAAGAACAACCACAGATTTAGTCAGCTGTATCACCTCAACAGTCAACACCTTATGTTGCAGTTATGCATGTGCACTGAAAAAACTGAAATGTTGACTTTAATTAAGGGTATATGTACAAATTTCACACAACTATATTAGGTTAGTTGAACAATAATATCAAGTAACAACTAACATTGAAAAATATGTGATATATATGACTCAAGTAAATGGTAGAATTCAATATTTAAAAGTAATTTCCAAATGGTTAGATACAAATGATATAAGTAGGCTATGTATGCTTTGTTTGTTTATTGATTATATTTTATATTTAGCATTTATCCTATGTTTATAGTTTATTTAGTAGTAGTGGGTAAGTCTTAGGCTGGAGCCACACAAGGACGATAACGCAAACGGACCGAAATCGATATCAGTCTTCCGTCCACACGGAATAGGCACCAGAAACGTGTCCGTTCACACGAGACCGCTCGAAAGCGCTGGAGACGCTGTAGTACATATGCCGGGCCTGTATGTGGCGCTGTACTCCTGCCACAAAAGCAGCGAAGAAGACTTCCCACGCATGGTTTCCATGGTTGCCCTTCTGTTTATTCTTCGCTGTGGATGCTCTGGCTCTTTTTCTCCCTCCCCGAAGCAAGCGTTTGCTCCTGCTGTAAATCTCTCCGGTAGTCCACCAGCAGATGACAAACACCCACCTCTCCGCCTCTTCCAAGGAACGAGGGGACCATGCGGCAGAGTTACAGTTAGATTTTTTTTCGCCGGTCAACATGTCCGTAAAGTTGAAATCTTCCGGACAAAATTAGAAAAGTGCCGGTCAGAGGTTGTCTTTGTTATTTATTTAGCTTTAAAACAAATTGATAACGACTTTATATAATAATATAATAATAAAAAACCGATCCTCTCTTTTCCTCCCCGTCTTCTGACAGCCCAGCAGCTGATCTCTGAGCAGGAGAGGTGGGGAGAGGCGGGGCTATTGCTTCAACGTTATCAGGAAATGATCGTATAGGTGTAAACACGGAGCCGTTTGCCCCCCCAGAGCGTTTCGTTCGCAGATCTACCCACCTTGGGACCCATTATAGTTTTCTGCGTTTCCATGTCGGCCTCGTGTGGCCGAACCGTCCATCTGATAGAGAACTGTAGCGGATATGACCGTTATCGTCCTCGTGTGGCTGCAGCCTAATACAGGGTTTTCAATCTGATACTTTGTTTTATATTGTGTCGTCCATAGATACTCTTTAGGATATATTTTTCTATTTCTATTATGTATTGTTTGTTTATATATGAAATATATAATGTATGCCATGTGCAATGTCTTATTTAGATGCTGTTCTGCTCTGAAAAATCCAGATTTAGAGTCAATAAAGAATATAACTATACAAATATAACTATTCCAACCTAATCTAATGGATAAAAGGTTAAAGTTTAAGTAATGCAGTAATTCAGCTAAGTAGTATTAGCAGTATGATTGTCGACCAAGCCAACCTTATTATTACCAGTTCAATTGTATGAGAAAACAATATCAACTTTTATATAAGGAGTAGTGTTATACATTTGAAAACATACATCGGGAATCTACTGTATAACGGGGTAAACAAGTCCATCTGAAGGGGCAGTGAATGTAATTCTGACCAAAAAGGTTGTGAACCACTGGCCTGTAGCTAATTTAAAACCTGTGCTAACGTTGAGACGTCCTGAGGCGAGGCAGGTTATTAACGGAACTGTTGTCTGTGTTCAGTGGTGTGAAACAGTCGGGATGACGAAACAAGATTTTCACATCCTCTGTTGTATAAGATAACCCTCACAAATCAATACCATGAGAAATTCCTCAGTATCTTTTCATAAAACATAATTTAATTGCTGAAATAATCATTTGTGCAAAACATTCCTCGATTCAAGAAAAAGTAATAAGAAATAGCCTTGGATAGCCTAGCCCGTGTTTGTGTATCAATGGAGCTATTACACATAAGGATATAAGGATGTTCAAACGCTCCTTTATCCAACTTTAGTTTTTACATTGAAGTGACATTGCATCTGTCAGCCTTATTGACACAAGACAACATTTTCAGAAATATTCCGTACAACGTTGCTTGTGAATTAGGTCAAGATGCATCCACAAATGTGTCAACTCTCCAGTTCTGTCAGGCCACAGATAGAGACGTGGACTCCACACTAAAAGCCTCCTAAACCAATGCATTGCATAAGCAAAAACTTTAATAACGACAAAGTACAGACCTTGGTTTAACAGTGGAAAAGAAAAGAGCTGTGCAAATAACCCATTAGTATCAATAATGGATGCCATTCATATTTAAAATAAGAACTTTACAATTATGAACAGGCACTTTTAGCCTGATCAATTCTATAGTAATGTCAGAGAAAGCTAAACAGAAAATCTTATGGTGCTGTTTCAGTGAAATCAATTACATTTAACCATATTTGATGGCACACAAATCCAAAGATTTCTGTTAATCAAAACTCTAAATTCAAAAGTGCACTTTCCTTTAAAGACTTTCTACTTCCTCGATTAATCACAGTGACGTTGAACTCATCCAGTTATAATTAAAGATTTCCATGCTCTTCTATTATTAGTTTCAGTCTACCAGCCTGTACCCTCCCATCTGTTCTGGAGGTGTTTAAGTCTTTGCAAAAGTGCAGAGCAGCATGTCCTGACATTTGGCAGAGGACTTCCTGTTTTAGCACTGGCTCACATCCTCCTCAAACTGTGTTGGTCACATTCACTTTGACAAAGCGTGTGTGTATGAGGGTGAAGGGGAGAGAGAGAGACCGGCAGGCAAGACAAGAGAAAATTAGATATGCTTCAAGGATGTCAGACCACAATGGAAAAGTTGTAAGTGTAGTTTGTGGTCAACCAAACTTCCTTATCGACAGACAGTTTACAACACAATATGATCACCTTCAAAGGCAGTCAAATTCTGAAGATACTAAGAGTTTGACTGTTAGTCTGCATACACTAAAAGGCATCTGCAACGCTTGCAGCTGAATACGAAAATATTCCCAAAGAGCACTAAAGTTATCGGTACCACTTTACAATAAGACTACCCTTATAAAGGGTTTACGAATAGTTTGTAATTCATTTATTAATTAGGTTGTGAATACTTTATAAATCATTAATAAGCTTTTATAAGACATGAGATAAACCAACCCAGTCTCACATCTAAACGTGTAATAACTACGTTGGTCCACAACTTGGTACGTAGTATTTCTACAAAAACGCCTCTGAAATTGTAAGATCTCTACGTTTTTTTCACCATTAATTTCCAATGGCTGGCGTCTATGTCACGTGATCTTCAAATTTCTCCCTGCAGAAAAAAAAAGAATAGGGCCGACCTTCGTTTTATTCTCGGTGGTAAATGCCTATTTTAAGGTTAGTTTGGCCATTAAAATGCGTTTTGATGTCATTTGATGCGAGAAATATGAGTTGTTATTTAAGATTATGTGTGCAGTGGATATACATGATCTTTAGTTTGCTAGTTATTACGAAGATTACTTCAGGAAATTGTGTCCATACAACATTTTCATTGTTGCCAAGGTGGTTGCTAGGGACGCTGCTATCGATATTATTTCTGTTATGTTGTGTAACTGTTTAATGGTGTTATCTTTATTGCTACCCCCTTCAACGTATAGTGTTGGTCCACAGCGCAAACGTATTAGTTTAACAAAATCCGCATCTAAAATTGTGGCATAGATATACGTTATTTTCCCCTGTGTAATTCTCCATTTACTCAACAATAACACATAATTATCCTTGTGTTTATTTATTTGTTTGAATAATAAACACAAGTTGGAGTCCGCCAGGACCGAGGGTCGGAGCAGCTAATTTGCTTTAGAGAATTTTACACCCGGAAGTAAGTATTCTCTCCCCTTCGCTTGACAAACCCTGTGATAGTCCTCAAGCTCTGTGATTGGATGTTTGAGAGTGCGCCGAGGGTCGAACAGCACTTTGAAATGGTATGGAACCACGGCAGACTGTCAACAACTGGATTTGAACGGGTCCACCCCGTCCCCCCCTCCCCCACCCCGTCCCCAGAACTACACATGCTGGCTATTGCGTGTTTCGCAACATGTTCTATGGCATGTCTCTACTGGGAATTGTAGTTTTAAAAGACATTTTCGTATTTCCCATAATAAGAAGTTGCTAGTATTAAACTGTGTACATCCCTGGAGGTTTAGGGGATAAGAACACTCAAATGTAAAACATATAATTGATAAATGGGTGAAAATTGCTTGTGCCATAATGGGCAGCATTAATATATACCCACATGACAGCTACTGTAAGGTCAGAAGAGCTTTATTTAACAGCTGGTCTTGTCAAGGTTCAGAGGCACATTTTGCAAATATGGCAGTAGCCATCGATCATCTTAAGATAAGATATACTTTATTGATCCCAAGTTGGAACATTTGCATTACATCAGCATGTGTAACAGTTGTAAATATAGAGTGGTGTTTATTTGTAAATCATTTCGTATAATCACATAAATTCTGTGTTTTATATTTAATAATTCTGTGTTCTTTATTTATTGATTGTTCAATACCTGACAAGGTCGGAGATGAAATATCTACATACATCTTATAAGAGTATAATACATATGTATAATATCAGTTAAAATAAGTGCTTCAACATAGTTAACATTGCTGGAGGTATGCACAAATATTGATAGATGTCTTGTAATGCACTATTGAGGAACCTGTGACCCAAGTTTTTAATTAATTGCATAACTACACCATAGTTGTGAATATGATATGTCAATAAACCTTAGAACATCTTGAAATCTTGAAATCTTGAAAGGGATGTGCAAAATAGTCATTATATACAGTCTTTAATTAACTATTAGTAGAGAATAACGAGTAATGCATATACTTTATAGGGATCCTATTAATATCTAATAATAAAAATAATACAATTCAATAACATGCTTTAACTACTAGGTGTCCCTTTATATCAGCTGTGCACCGTTATGGTGTAAATACAGCCTATCTACCAATTGGATCAAATATAAAAGTCAGCCGAATTAGTGTTGATACTGCAAGGAGACGTATTGTGTGAAAATAAATGTAAGATGTTGTTTAATTGCTGATATATTTAAGATTCACGTCCCGTATTCAGTTTTGGCAGCAGTTCCTCATGTTTGTCTAGAAGTCTTCTCAGCAGGGCTCTATAAATAGAGAACTACGGCAGATATGTAATATTTAATGCAGCCGAACCGTGTATTACAATGCCGTTATGTGATGACTTTCAAAGAGAAAAGCAAGCACACTCGGAATAAAGTATTATTTTATTTTTAAAAAATGTTTTCGGATTTCACATCGCATAAACACCATTTCCCAACGTGCATTGCGGCTAAACCATCCAATCACCGAGCTGAGGATCTTGCCTACGTCTGTTTGTTTATGACGATGTGATGTGAGATGTGAGACTGGGTTGGAGAATTGCACAGGGGAAAATAACATATCTATGCCACCATTTTAGATGCAGATTGTGTTAAACTAATACGTTTGCGCTGTGGACCAACACTATAAATTGACGGGGAAGGGGGTAGCAATAAAGATAACACCATTAAACAGTTACACAACATAACAGAAATAATATCGATAGCAGCGTCCCAAGCAACCACCTTGGTAACAATGAAAACGTTGTATGGACACAATTTCCTGAAGTAATCTTCGTAATAACTAGCAAACTAAAGATAGATAGAAGACATCCACTGCACACATAATCTGAAATAACAACTCATATTTCTCGCATCAAATGACATCAAAACGCATTTTAATGACCAAACTAACTTTAAAATAGGCATTTTCCACCGAGAATAAAACGAAGGTCGGCCATGTTTTTTTTTCTTCTGCAGGAAGAAATTTGAAGATCACGTGACATAGATGCCAGCCATTGGAAATGAATGGTAAAAAAAACATAGGGATCTTACCATTTCAGAGGCGTTTTTGTAGAAATACTACGTCCCAAGTTGTGGACCAACGTAGTTATTTCACGTTTAGATGTGAGACTGGGTTGGATAAACAGGGCAACTGTGACCGGTTGCTTGCCAAATAGTGAGCCCACTGCTGTCCTGCTAAGTCTTATATTGGCTACCTAGCTTACTTCGTCTTCTTCATCAGTCAGCATCCTTGGTATCTGTTGCTCACTGAGTTGATTCTTGCTAAGTAGCCAATATAAGGCTTAGTCATCTTGCCAAATAGTGAGCCTGTCTTGATGTATGGAAACTATGTTAGAACTGGTTTATAAATGGTGCTTAATGATTAATAAAGTGTTTACAACCTAATTCATAACCTAATTATAAACTCTTTATGAATCCTTTATAAGGGTAGTCTTATTGTAAAGTGGTACCAAGTTATCTTATAAGATCTTCAAAGTAATGTGGCCTAACAAAAAAGAAATAAGCCAGAAAACTATTGCAGGTGAAAAATAAGATACGGGCATTCTGAGAAGTCTTGTCAACTGCAAACATTGACAGTTTGCATTTCAGTTCCACATAAGACCTGGACAGGCACAAAGCCTGTGTGCTAAAAGTTAAAATGTCACAATGGTACATTTTGATCTGGTTTACATTTGTGTAAAACCGCAATGTACAGAGTCAGTTGAACCTGGTATTTTCCACCTCCTTTATCTTTTGAAAAACTGGTGGCTTCTTTCTTTGAAAAGACACAAAGCTCTTTAGACAATATCTCTACATTCATTTAGTGTTTCCAATACTCTGCCCCATGACCTGACTATCTAGCAGAAGTCGGCTGGCCAGACCTGTCCGTACTGTCGCTGCGACATCAGAGGAACTGAGTCCATCCTCGTGGAGCCCTTCCTACCAGGCAGCGGTCAGTGGGGGGAGGCGGGTGAGGAGGACCAGGAGGAGGAGGAGGAGGAGGAGGAGGACCATGAGGACATTGAACTGGTGCTAAAGAAAATGGCTGCCCTGAAGAAGGTGAGTGAAGGCACTTTGGTGCCCATGCTTTTAGGGTTTCCTGTAGTGTTTGATATAGGTTTGTGTGCATGTTAATGGTCTGCAAAGGCTAACATCCCCAAGTTCCCTCCAGAGGGAGTTTCTCTCCCACACTTGATAGGCTGAGGGGCGAGACATCTCTAAGCGGTTGACCAATCACAACAGAGCTGGCCAGCTAACCAATCAGAGCAGACTGGGCTCTTGTTTAAGACAGAGGGTGAAAAGAGGTGCTGCAGTACAGGCAGTATGAGAGAAATAAAGAAAGCTAAAGTGATTTAGCAGCACTTTTTCTTAAAATTGAGGCTCCACATTTGCAACATACATCTTCATTCCCACTTTAAAATCTCTTGTCACTTTAAAGTAATGCTCTCCACTGAAATATAAAACGATTAACTCACTCACCACCGACTGCCAACATTTTCTCTCAACAGTTCTCAAGTTCGGATTACCAAGTTCCCCGGTCCCACCTCAGCGTTCCACCTCTGCCCCCTAAAAACTTCACCACCCCATGCTCTCCATCTCCCTCCAGCCGACCGCGGACCTCAGAAACCCAGACCCCGGAAAAACATTCCCACTCAAGTTCAGTAAGTTCCCTCAAACACTCGAGCTATTTGCATATTGTTGCTGTTGCTGTTACTTTTTCACGGTTTTATGATGGGAAGTGTTAAATGCCTCCCTTCCTCTGAGACAAACTCTGATGAATGTTAATTAATGCATAGTATTGAAAACCACTCACCAACGGTGGTGTGAATATGTGTAGAAAGCCAGAGGTGGAAGTAACGCTTACTGTAACTAAGAGGTTTTTGTGTACTCCCTTTCCTGTAGTGTGTTATATAGCTTTGTGTGCATGTAAATGGTCTACAAAGGATAAAATCCCAAAGTTCCCTCCAGACTGGGAAGTGTCTCTCCCACACACTTGGGACTTCTGAAACTTGGACTCCCTTGTTTACTTCAAAAACATAGTTACATCACCATGTAACGCTCTTTTATTGGCTAGAGCTCCAACACATTGTATGCGATAGGCTAAGGGGCGGAACATCTCTAAGCGGTCGCAACAAAGCCAGCCAGCTAACCAATCAGAGCAGACTGGGCACTGGTTTCAGACAGAGGGTGAAAAGAGGTGCTGCAGCACAGACAGTATGAGAAAGATAAATATATTTTTGAACATTAAAGCATGGAGATATGTCACAGTAGAGGCACAACATACACATATGAACCTGAACATTTGAATAATTTGTCCTCTAAGTCTGTAATTTGAATTGCATTAAAGATTTTATAATAAATGTATTCTTGATACCCAGTAGTAGCTGAAGGCTGCGTTATCTTTGTGTGTTTCCTCTCTTCAGCCGGCTCAAAGTGGCAATGGAGCACGTAGAAGAAACAAACAAGAGAAAAAGAAGAACAGGTGACACAAAAAGTTTAAGTTTAATAAAAGGGGGGGCATGTGGTTGTTGTTAAATGTATACAAGAAGCCTTCAGGAGACACATTTTGAGCATGCAGTCAAAACTGTACAGAGTGACTTGTGATACTGAGATAGTGATCTTGAGATGTAGCTTTATCTGGAGCTTCTGGGAAAATCTCGACCAATTATCTATGAGGTAATCAGCATTGCAAAGTGTGCAGATGCAATGATATTTTGCATTTGAGGTTTTGGTTGTCATGCCTTTCTTTAAGTAATAATTTGCATTGTGTTTATTTGTATATATTTCTGATTAGTATTGTTCTGTTTTAAGCAGTGCTGAATATCTCACAGAAGCAAAGTCCGCATCTTCCTCTCAGAGGGCTGTCGACAGTAAGTTAAGGCATTTTATAACCTTGTGTTGTGCACAGACAGTCTTTGAAACTATATATGAGATTATTCTCCACTTGAAACATTATGTGTCTCAAAAACTGTAAAATGTCATGATAAGTCTATGGTTCCCTTTCACAGAGCAATACTGTACATAAATGTCAAGTCTTCCCTGTTGCACAAAATTATTTAATTTTTCATGGATGTGTCTCATTCTGTTATTTCATGCAAATGAGTATTTCCTTCTCTCGCAAAAGTCTGTCCACACTGTCTTTTGCTTATAAGTAAATCTTGCTGGCGTGAATCGTATACTCCTTGCTAACATCTTGTATTTCTTACCCCAAATACATCCTATTCATAGACCCTTTCATAGCAGACATTCAGCAAGTTATAGCAGAACACATAAATGACAGTTCCAGCTATTATTGCAATGCAGCAATTAGTAATGCTTTGAGTGACACCTTTGTTTGAAAGGCTGGCTAGAAGTTAATATATATCATTATTTTAAAATGAAAATGTATTTAAGAGTTGAGTCAGACATTTTAGTACAATCTATTTTTGTGTGTAGGTGCAGCAGCGTGGCTCGAACCCTCCAGCCCAGTCAAACAGAGACAAAGACACAAAGAGAGGGAGGAACGGAGAGCGGGGCTCAGAGAAGACAAATGTGACCTGGAAGAGATGACGAGAAGAATGTCGTCCTGACAGAAGAGCACCTTTGCAAGATAAAGACTCTAAATCAAAGCGAGAAATACCTGAAAATCAGCCCTCAGTGAAAGTAAAAATAGTTTCTGGTGTCATGTTTAGCTGTAATGAGTGGGTGGGACTGACAGGAAGATTTCTCACTGAGGCCTCCTACTGTTCAATAATTACACTGCCATTGTCTCAGCAGTAGGTTCAGCACTTATTCTTTATAATTAAAGCATTTTATGAGCCCCCCTTAAATAATGGAAATTATTGAAATGCTTGACATTATAATTATAACCCTAACTCTTATGAAAAAGGAAGGGGGCTATCACATGTCTGGAGAGAGAAATGTGCTACCTCACTGTTTAACCCATACCATGAATATGTTCCTTATAACAGCTTTTAAACCCTCTACTGCAGTGGTTCTCAACTGGTCAGGCCTTGGGACCCACTTTTTCCTTTGTCAATAAATCGCGACCCGAAATTTTGAACCACTCAAATCTATTCAACAAAAAATCATGCTGTAATATATACGCTTTTCAGCATTCATTATTAATTAAAGTGAAGTACAGTGCATATATCCCTTCACAGAACAAAATAATGCTTTTAAATAAGATTAATGAGATGATGGAATCAAAGCTGAACTATATAACATATAGTACATGTGGTACATGTGGCCTTGGGTTTTCAGCACTGAATACCCAACCTCAGCAGGGGGGTCTGAGGGGATTCTCCCTCAGGAGATTTTTAGAAATAACATAACATATAAACTACGCATTCTGGTACACTCTGAAAATAAAATAAATAAATATATTACTACCCGACATATTAATATGTTATGCCATTGTTTGTTTTTCACTTTGTTCTGACTGCTGAACTTGCTGCTCCACAAAGAGAGAAGAGCAAAGAGGAGGTAGTCTGTGTGACTTACTTTAAATTGTGGGTAAGGGTAGATAGCTCCCATTGTTCTGCGACCTGTCAATCATCAAACCGGGGGTCATATTTCATTATGTGTTCATTTGTATCTGAAGTTGTACCCATGGATGTATAATGAGTAGTTATACCGCAAAGTTATTCTCCGTGGGGACTTCCGGCAACAATCTTGATTCTGATTGGCCAGAAGACTGGAAAAAATATCAGCAAAGACGTTTTATTGAAAAGATGATCACCACGTGACAGAAGTTTTCAAAACCGTTTATGGTCTCCGGTACTTCCAGTCCAACGCCTATTGCATGCACAGCGTTAGAAAATCGGAACTTCAAAAAAATAAAAGTTTGACTTTTTTCCCAAAAAATTAAAAAATATATTATTATTTTTTTCTTCACTCAAACATCTGCGACCCACTCGAAACGGGTCCGCGACCCACCAGTTGAGAACCACTGCTCTACTGTATATCAAAGCGATATAGCACCATCAAACTGTCTTAAATGGTATTAAATCAAATACATAAACCTGTACCTACAGTAACACATACTTGAGCTTATAAGTGATTGGTGTATGTTTTCACATTATGAACAGACAAGTGAATACCAAGTGATTTTATTCAGTTTTCAACATTCTGGCACATGTGTGTTAAGAGTCTTGATTGGCACCAGAGAGAAGACAGAACAATAAAAACCAGGGCTGTGAACCAGTTGGAGAAGTGAAGAAAATAAACTGGTAATTTCTTTAGGGATTGGCTGCCAGGACCTCTTCAAACCAGGAGTGGAACTCACACAGTCTGACGTAGACCCCGGGGTAGTTTGGCTCGGCACATCCCTGACCCCATGACACCAGGCCGTGCACCTCTCCCTCACACACCAGAGGGCTGCCGGAGTCACCCTGGGGATGAAACACAGAGTGTGTGAGCATGTGATTTATTCTTACACACACACACACACATCTGAGAGAAAGTGACTGTAAAACTCACATTGCATGCGTCTTTGCCTCCCTCCATGTATCCGGCACACACCATCCTGGGGGAGATCATGCCGGGATAGGCGTTCTCACAGACCCGCTGGTCCAATATGGGCACGTTCAAACACTGCAGGAGGGTGGGCATGTACACTGTAACATACACAACAGAGGACGTCATAGAAAACTCCTAAAAAACTATTTTTAAGGAAAAGGCTGTCAGATTTTAAAATGTTGTGAAGGTGTCCTTCTTGGGTTGCCGTCCGGAGTTGTCCAATATGTCGGACCATCTCGCACATGCGCAGTACCGATCGGGCAGGGGGACGGATCGGGTAGTGACAGTGACAACAGTCACTACCCGATCTGCAGCTCTGCCCGATCTGCAGTGCGCATGTGCGAGATGGTCCGCCATATTGGACAACTCCGGACGGCAACCCAAGAAGGACACTTGACAAAGTGGCTTTTAGCAAAGCTCAAAAAGAAAACTCGAGAGAGATGAGTTATTTTTATTACAACGTGACTTCACTATTATTTAACAACTCTTTTTATTGGGTTATTTGATTTGGGGTTAAGTACATTGTCAGAATAAGTGAGGAATGAATTTAACTTCTGTTAGACAGCCATATGCCATACATTTTTGCACACATTCACAGTAAATATGTATTCAGTATGAATAATGACAATGTACTTAACCCCAAATAAAAGAACCCAATAAAAAGAGTTGTTAAATAATAGTGAACTCACGTCAGGGGCGGACTGGCCATTGGGAATACCGGGAGTTTCCCCGGTGGGCCGGTGCTGTGTGTGGGCCGGAGGGCCAAAAAAAAAAAAGTTCTTTTTTTTTGCCTAAATCCTACCGGCCCACATTTGTAAGTGTTCCGGCCACTCCCTTTTTTTCTTTTGCTTACCTAAATCCTACCGGCCCACATTTGTAAGTGTTCCGGCCCAGCCCAGCCCAGTGGGGTGTGGCCAGGGTTGGGTTGTAACGGAATACATGTAACGGTGTTATGTAATCAGAATACAAAAATCAAGTAACTGTATTCAGCTCGCGTTACATTTGAAAAACGAGTAATCTGATTACAGTTACTTTCGTAAACCTGAAGTGAATACATGTTGGATTACTTATTGGAATTATTGGTGGAAAGATTTCCTCACAACATTTAATATTCATTACTAAAGGTACAGCCGAATCATCACAGCGCACACAACCGCGCAGATGGACCAAAAAGGGGAGCGTTTGAATTTTTTTTGCGGGTCCGCTCAGTGAAACAATAACAACGTAACATGGAGGAACAAAAGTCTGCGTTTAAATCGTGTGTGTGTGTAGAGGTGTGTGTGGTTAAAACACATCAGCCACACCGCTCTTTAGCCTTTCTAATGATTCTGAAGGTAAACACAGTGAAGGCGGTGCGTGAAAGGCGGTGTGTGAAAGGCACTGCGCGCTCCTCTTCTCAGAGGCTGAGTTAACCCTCCCGCTGCCTCCTGGTGCTGCAGAGATTTCATGAAGTGAAGGAGGTTTTCCTTCTATAAAACAGCTGCGGGCAGCAGATACTGTGAGAGTCACAGACATGAATACATAGATCAAGGCAGACTGGTGCACACAATCTCCTGTTTTGACAATCCGGTGCTTAAACAAATATAGCTCTACACCCCTGGCCGAAATGTCCTTAAAATGAAGTCTGAGTTCGACATTTTAATTAATGTCCTGCCAACACTGGCAGGACAGAAGGCGACACGCCCTTTCTAAGCCATGTCCTCACATCCCAAGCTGCATCCCCAAAAAGTGTATTATGTTGTTACAACAGGGTTCAGGGGGAGTGGCTGTACGGCTGTACCCGTAGGATAGAAATGGGGGAAGTGATGTCTGACTCAGAGGTCGCGCGGCTGTGGAGAAGAACGTGTTGCCCACATTCTGTTACTGAGTTTAGGCTAGTTAGCTAGCAGGTTTATTGTTTCGGGTGCAGTCACTTTTGCCTCCACTTGCTGTTCAAATAAATGTTGAAAGAAAAAGTTAATCTGTTTACAGTTCTGTTTTATATGGGTGTTGAAGAAGAAGAAGAAGAATTGGGAGGGATGAAACCCTCTTTAATGGTCACACATGCAGAGCACACAGCACACACAGTGAAATGTGTTCTCTGCTTTTAACCCATCCTAGTACCAGGAGTCTAGTACTAGGAGCAGTAAGCAGCTATTGTACAGCGCCCGCGGAGCAATGGGAGTGAGGGCGGAAGGGGGATGTCTGGTGCCTTGCTCAAGGGCACCACGGCAGGAGCTGAACTGGGACCTCTCCAAGTAGAAGTCCACACTCCAAATAGGTCTGGTTGGGGACTTGAACCGTCGACCCTACGGCTCACAGTCCAAGCCCCTATAGATTTAGTCCCTAATGTTGCTCTCAAAATGGACCAGATTGATGCATTTAACTTCAACATTTAAAAAAAAATCTTCCCGGGGGAGCTTGCCCCCGGACCCCCCTAGAGGAGGTGAGGTCCACCACCTGCCCACACCCCCTGTTAAATTGTCTCACCCACATTGAGGATGCTTCCTACGCCCATGTTTTATTCCATGTGTCAAGTCAGGCAAATTGGGTCAAAATGTTATTGCATCAATGATCTGTTAACATTAAAATCACTAAATATATGCCGTAACTATTTTGCTCTAGGCAACTCAAGGGCTCAGGTAATGTGATTACTATATGAATAATTGTCCAAAATAACATACAATGCATAGGGTTTTTTGTTAAGTAACATACTTTCGTCCCCGGCCGGCCGATACATGCCGCGCATTAAGTGGGCCTGTCTGTCAATTAATCCCCGGGCCACTTTTTCCCCCCAGTCCGCCCCTGAGTCACGTTGTAATAACAATAACTCATCCCTCTCGAGTTTTCCTTTTGAGCTTTGCCAAAAGCCACTGTGTCAATGTTGTCCTACTTGGGTTCCCGTCCGGAGTTGTCCAATATCGCGGACCATCATGCACACTGCAGATCGGGCAGAGCTGCAGATCGGGTAGTGACAACCTTCCTAACGGAGTGAAATTACCCGGAAGTCCCTCAGTGGCAGCCATGATAAGTGCCGTTCGAATTCTCTAGATGATAGGAAAGGAGGTTTCAAACTTCCTTTATAACCTCCTTTAGCTTAGGAACCACTGGACCTCCCTAAGCGAAAGGAGAGGAGAAAATGCTGCCCCACAATGCCTTGCAGCCGCAGCATTTGACGTCACACAACAGTCGGCCGTTCACGGAAACAATCGATTATGACGGAGAAATTATATCATGAAAGTTACGGTGCTTATTAAGCTTTTTAAAACGTATGTGGTAAGTTGCCAAAGTGCTTTGTTTTGAACGTTCATCAGTATTATAATCAAAAAGAGAAATATGAACGTTAGTTTTTACTGAAATGATCAAATAAAGTCAACATTTCACTGAGCTGTGTGGGGTTTGTTCAACTTTTAAAAGATGTTTGAATGGTGATGTACACAGTGATAGGTGTTAAAGACTAACGTTTATAATAAATACATTTGTATTGATTTTAAGATATTTTCATAGTTCATACAATCATACTGGGATCATTTTTTGTATTAATGTGGACCGGAGGGAGAGGGTGACGAGCATAAGTTTCACTTTCCTTTTTTATTTCAATTCCAACTTTGGTCATGTAGAATATGTTTCTCTGTTGTCCACGTTCATAAAGCATAACACAACAGCATCAGAGCACGGTGCAGAGTCTCTAGATGAGTTTACAGTAGTCCCTCGCTCTTATTAAACATCCATGTTGTAGTCCGCTGTATAGAAAACTGTAGTTTCCATAGTTTCCCCACAGCAGCAGATGCACAAAATGACGTCCGCTGGCGCATCATAAACACGTCGGATAGTGAAAGTGCAGTCGGATTCTCTAAAGCACCGCAGTCTCTTCTCCTAAATCCTTTTGAATTCTCCTATCCACTATCCCTTAACCCCGTGACGTTTCACTCAGAGGTCAAGGAATAGGTGATAGGGTTAGAACTTAGGAGCTGATTTTTAAACTATCCGAACGCAGCCCCGGTATAATTCCACGTGCGAAAACAAAATGTTAGTGGTTTGAAAGTAAACTGAGGTATGGCAAGGAAGTTTACTACAGCTGAGGCTTTGGAGCTGATTTTTCAAGGGGACGATGTTGATCAATTCAGACGAATCTACTCAGCATGCCATGTGTGATTGTGGACAGAAACTAACATGATACTGTGGTGACACGTTATTGGACATAATTCACCTTGCTTATTGTGTTGCCACACGGACCCTTTAGTGGGGAACACCTGTAGCTTTAGCTGCCATTCCTGCTAGCTCATCATGGCAGAGCAGTGCATGTGTTAACCTCTCTGAAGTAATGGATAATAAAGATTGGAACTCCATTCTTAATACACCGCCTCCGACTCTCTTTTCACGGCACTACACTGGTGACCCTGACTTTTCCGAGAAAGTTTCCGGAAAATTAACGAACATGGCTGAGCGCGATGTTTTCATAAAGCTGCCGGAATTCTGGGAGCACACCGCGGAGGCATGGTTCGCACACGTGGAGGCACATTTCGCCTGCCGACAGGTCCGTGACGGGGACCTAAAATACTACCATGTGGTAGCAGCGCTGGGGAGCTCCACGTCATCCAGGTTGGTGGGATTCATCGCAGCCCCCCCACATCTTGGCAAATATGAGGCGATTAAGGCCCTTCTCCTTAAGACATTTAGCTTATCTGCTAAGGAGAGGGCCCGCCAGATACTTGACATTCAAGGCCTAGGAGACAGCAAGCCATCCCAGCTAATGGAGAACATGCTAAATCTGCTAGGGGGGGAAGATCCCCGTATTTTATTCACGGAGATTTTCCTGCGTCACTTGCCTCCCCGGGTACAGACGGCGCTGGCCAACACGCCTGTCACGGAGCCCCGTGCTTTGGCTGAGGAAGTGGATCGTTTTTTCCTGGCTACACAACAGCCCGGGGCAGAGACGTTAGCCGCGACGCTCAGCGGCCCACCGGCAGTCAAGAAAGCGTGGCGGAGGCCGGACACGGCTGTGGCTAGCCGGCGTGGAGACACCGGAGAGTGCGTTTACCACGCACGTTTCGGGACAAGGGCGAAGAGATGCATCGCTCCGTGCAGCTACAAACCCCCGGGAAACGGAGGGGCCGGC